ATGCATCAACAAACGATATTTTATATGTAAAAAATGGTTTTTAAGAGTTTTTATCAAATTTTTATAATATAGTATATATATATATATATATATATATGTGTGTGTGTGTGTGTAGGTAAAAGTGAGAACAATAAGAAGGGATTTGTACCTTTATAATCACTTTTAATCTCACCTTCATCCAATGAATTGTGTTTGATATAGAACTTGATATGGTACATCTCATTAATGTTATTCAATTAGGATTGATCCAAAAGTGGATATCTTTTTCACCCTTCAAACCATAATTTTCATTTTCGTTGAAACTCAACCTTAAATATATTATTGCATCTTGATGTCCCATTTGACACGACACAAAACTAGGACATGATTGAACAGTACCCCAACATCATAGGTGAAACAAAAACAAGAAAGATGAGACAAAATTAATAAGTTACTAAATTGCTAACCGTAAACTTTTCACAATTCTTTCAGTTCGGTATTCTGGTCCACCGGCCAAAGAACCAGCTTGCCCATATCTAGTAGCTATCCTGGTCTGAAAACTCTACAACTTAGACGATGGGTTCAACTCTTTATAAAAGCTTGAGGCAATCATACAATCACCATCTTAAAAGGCATCAAAATGTAATAGTTATAGCAGTGGCTTTCCAATATCAAATACCAAATATTATTAACATAAAAGAAAATCATGAACCCATAAATGTCGACCGACCACTACGTACTAAAACACGAGATGCGGCAACAACAAAACTCAAATCTACAGTTCACTATAATTGCGCCAAACTGCACGAAATTCCTCACGGAATGTATTCAGACGTGCTTTCAGATTAGGTGTTCGAAAGCTTGCATGCAGCACCGTACCTGCATCAGATGCCGTAGATCAAGTTACCAATTCAAAAAAAAATCCTTCTTGATATTATATATTTACCGATCAATTAATGAACAAAGGTCATGTAGAACTTACCAAGAAGGCCAATCGTAAGTGCCCATAACAAAGTCAACAGCCCACAAGAAACAAACCATAGAATGAAACTAGCTGCATACAAATGACACAAGAGTTTATGACAGATAAATCTTTTTGTTCGAGTATATAGTTGTAAAAAGCATCAGAGCCTTCTTCATCTATTTTTCCTAGGGTAGAAGCAAATTTTGCGTACATCCTACCCCTAACCCTACCTCTTTGTGAGATATAATGGGTTAGATTGGTTTGGTTTTTTAAATTAAAAGTGCCAGAAATATTTAACGTACCAGCAGAGAATAATGACACAAACACCCAGCGAGGTCGTCCACATATATAAATTGCTCTCTTAGACGAAGGGCGCCCACGAATAACAGGCCTTTAAAAAGTCACAGATAGCTATATAACATGCATTTCCACATATACATTTAATAAGAAAAATAACTAGGCAAGGAAGCTCACGTTAGTGGAGGTCTCATTTTTGCTGCTAAATGTGGAGAAACCCGCCTGACAGTTCTCGTTACCTTTTCACTAAATGTGCCTGCGAAGCTGTAAACCAGTCATCAGAATAGTTGACGATAGTAAGTCAAGAAAGAAGATGGACAGACCTACTACTCTGCCCCAAGGGATAGAGAGGGTGTTTCAAGACTTGTAAAAAGGTTTTGAGAGAAGGCCCTGTGACCAAAAAATGGTTCCAAGAGTTTGAAAAATGTTTGAGAGAAGAAAATGATAAAAAGATAAATGATAGAAACACAGGTTAGCATGGTCGAAGAAAGAGTAACATCAAAGAATAATAAAGCACGCAAGGACAACAAAGACCTACGAGAAGATACGAAACCAGTAAACTAAGGGCGAAGTAGCGGTCGACCTGCTAACCCTCCCCCACCCTACGGCTCTGATGCCTAGATGACCATCCACCGCCCTCCTAACAGGTGCCAACAACTATTTCCAACAAACGGTCTCAAATCACTGCAGTCTGCCAGTTTTCCCTCTCTCAATCTATCCGTAACAGGCACTACTCCCAACTCTGCTCGAAAGACCTTGTTCAGTATCTTGTCTAACATGGTCCGGCCACATGTCCATCTGAGCATCCTCATTTCGACCTATTCTTCCTCCCTAGCGCCTTCTTTGTCATGACTAACAAGACTTGGTAACTCACTACTGATTTATATATTTTTAAGTGGCTTTGCTTCTTTTACAACCTCTTTCCCTCCCTCCTTACAAACTAAATTAGAAAATAGTGATCATAGTTCCCGAAAGCTCCATGGGTTTATAAGGGTTGAGAAGGGAACCCTTTGTAGTTTGTATACAACAATTTCCTAAAGTTCACAGTTACATTGTTTATGTGCCATACACCAGTCACCAGTGACCTTCCAGTAAAGAGTAAGGTGCCGTTTACCAAACGCTTACCCGGGTAAGCGCTTACCAAGTCACTTTACTTTACCGGATAAATATGGCAAGGACTAAGAATCTTACCCGATAAGAGCGAAGGCAAGAATCGAGAGTCTTACCTGGTAAGTGAGGACGAGGACTCTTACCATGGTTAGCGCTTACCGGGATAAATTGTTGCATACATGCGTTTTAGTGAATAAAATCTTACCCAATAAGTAAGCGATAGTGTTGAATTTTACCGATAAGTGCTTACCGGGTAAATGTTTAGGTAAACGGCCCCTAAGCTTACAAGGTCTCCTCCGAATTCGATCATTTGAGAAGCAAAAAGGAGAAAGATGGATGGAATGGAGGCGCAAGTTAAGGAGTAATGGAAAGATGGTTGGATACTTGGGACGGTGTCCTACAACTAGTGAACTTTTAGCTAATTAATCACCTAAGTAGAGATTTAAGTGGATCGTTTTAATACACAAATATGTATATAGACATACTCATGTATACATACGTATACACGCACATATATATGTATATTAAGAATTAAAAGAAATCGATGAATGTGTCCCGACCAAGCAACGAATGGCTGCGCTCCAGCTCACTCAAGTCAAGAATGGGACGGCAGTAGTCCGCCAGCAAAAATATAAATATATGTATATGTTATATGTACGTATAATTGTATACATATATTTATATGTAGATATGTACGTATGAACGTATATGTATACATGTACATATGCACATATGCATACACATGCGTTCATCTCTACACATATATGGACAAATATCATATGCATGCACATGTGTATATAGGGTTGGGTTTGGTAAGAATGAGAGTTATGGTGAGAAGGGTGAGAAGGGATCTCCACCCTTGGATCAATCCTAATTGAAGATCAACACTAATATGGTGCACTGAGATGCACCGGATTAATTCTTGTGATAAAGAGCAATTCATGGGGTGGGGCGAGATTAAAAATGAACAATGGTTCAGATCCCTTCTCACACTTCTCACCTTAACTCCTATTCTCACACGATCCTTTGTCTGTGTATATATGCCTATATGTATACATACATATATAGAGGTAGGTTCATACGAGAATGATACCAATTTAAGAAAATAAGAGAATGACCAAATTACGTACAAAATCACATGTGATTTTACATTAACGGCCAAAAAAGTGTGCGGACGACCCTATGGCTGCATGGCAAGGTCGCTTGAATCAAATATGATTTTGTAGGTGATGTTAGTGTAAAATCACATGTGATTCGACCATTCTCTAATTTTCTTAAATAGGTACCATTCTCGTATAAACCCGACTCTACATATATATACATATACATTGGAGAAAATCATATGGAACCTCAAAAATGTTGAGAACCCACAAGGACCAATCTCAATGTATTGTTCCACATGTATTCATTTCATCTAAGGCTAGGATTTAAAGTATTGTTTTAAATGGAATTTGTTTCACAATGCGAAACAGCACTGATGTTTAACAGCACTGCTTCACATTGCAAGACAATACATGTTTCATAGCACTGCTTCACATTGCAACACAATACATGTTTCACTTTGCAAGACAATACATGTTTCACTGGTTCTCAACATTTTTGAGGTTCTCATTGATTGTCCTTTATACATGATAAGCACGTATGTATACCTACATATGTATATGTATATGTAGGGTCAGGTTCAGGGAAAACTGTAAAAAAATGAAAAGCTGAGAAACACTCTGGTAACTGTTCATCTAAACAGTATGCACATGTGCATACAAGTAACTTTTAAGCAATTTGTCCAGTATGTGCATGTGCATAACATGCACACGTGCATAAAAACAACGAAACAACTTCAATTACTTGTATGCACTTGTGCATACCGTCCAAATAAACGGTTACCAGGGTGTTCCTCAATCTCACTTTTTTGGGAGGTTTTCCCCTGAACCTCCCTCTGTATATGTATTGTGTATATATACACATAATATAGATACATATACCTATAGATGTGTATACATGTATGCATACACGTGCGCCACATATATGTGTGAATGCACACATCTGCATAGAGATGTATCTACACATGTACATGCAATAATGCATACATATTTGTATGTATATAAAGTTATAAAACAAGTTTCAGAAAAGGCGATATATCCCTGCTTAATCTTTTGAAAGGCAGTCTGCAACAGGTTGCTAATTGAAGTGGGGCCAGATGTTGAAACGTACATATGGCCGCTTAAATGACCCTAAGCGGGGAATTTTAGAACATTGCCTCAAAACCATGATGCAAAGATAAACAAATGGAGTGACCTCTTAGCACTTAATTGTACAAGAGGGAACAAGACAGATGCACTAAACGGTTCATCTTAAAGTTCAAAAGCATCATTGTTTTCAGATTATTTGAACATATGAGAACTTTATTTCTTTAAATTGTTTTTTAAACTATGTAGATACAAACAAAATTATCTAGAATACCATCACCAAAATTCATTAATGATTGTTCACTTGTTGTAAAGAGGAAAGATTCTTAGTTTGGACAAAAACAATTTCTGAACCAGGGTCAATTAACTTTTAAACGGAAACTTTACAAGGATGCTCAACTTATTATCCAATTAATAAGGCATTCTGATCAATTCCCTGCCTATCTTGATTAATCATGCTTAATCTCCTACTCCCTCTCAATTCTAAGTCTAATTAATAGGGTACTCTGATTAATTCCTTTCATCCTGTTTAATCATGCTTGATTACTCCTCGACTCTTCAAATGTTCACGCATTGATTAATTGTTAATCGAAGAATCAAGAGGGAAAAAAACAGATTGATTAGTTGCTAACCAAAAAACTGAGGAGCAATTAACGTACAGCCTGCTGACAAAGCAGCCCTAAGCAGAAAGTTTTTGCAAACATGCTGGTGCTGCCAATGTTGAGTCAAAAAAGGCAGCGGGGCTAAAGATGGAGGCTTAGAAAAATAATTAGTAGTGAGAAGTCTACCTGACAACATGCAATATGTAAATAGATTGACAGAATATTACCCAAAAAAATATTTAAGTTCCAACAAGGGAAACCCTAGCATAAACATGGGTTCTGCTGTTCTGGGCAGAGGGCTGCCTTATAAATAATGCATACATCATGGGTTCTGGGCCAAGGATTGAATGCAAATTAAAAGGGAAACCCTAGCATAACCAGACAAAATATATGTCTGCATACATGATATACACGTAACAAATCAGAGAGTACATTGAATAAAGCAGATGGAAGAACTAATAGGCTGGAATTCGAAAAATTTGGAAAGCGCCAGGTAAATAATTCTATTAAGTTCTAGAGGTTAGCCAAGTATAGAAACTGTATGGGTTCAAAAGCCAGCAGAGAATACCACAAAGATAAACTATGGACTGTCAGAAATTGCAAAGGATGCTTCAGGTCAGAGGGTTAAGCACACAAGCTGTCAATTAGGTGACACCTTAATAACTATGAAAGCATCCTACAATTGGCATTTGGCAGTGACACCCCTAAATATTTCCAATTCAACAGTTAATGCAGAAAAGGATATGTCTTGAACTCTTGATGTAGCACTATCTTATCAAACGGATATGTTTCTTCTGTTCTTCCTACTGTGGTTATATATGGTTTATATTACAAATAAAATATATGCCCTTATGAGTTCTATATCAAACATAAATCGGTGGCCGTAGCCCTGCTTTCTGTAGAAAGGTTTTCCATTTTACAATGGGAAAAGTTCAAAAAAACCCAACAAACTTTTCCATTTTGAATGATTTAATCCCTAAACTATTTTTTTGAATGAAAAAACCATTAAACTTTCTCATTTTAAATGAGTAAGTCCCTGAACTATTTTTTTTGAATGAAAAAACCATTAAACTTTCTCTTTTTGATTGATTAAGTCCCTGAACATTTTTTCAATAAATAAACCATCGCACTTTTAAAAATTGGTCATCTACATCCTTTTAACCCAAAAAGGTTACATTAACCGACTAGTAAAAATTTGATAGTTTATTTATTCTTAAAAAAAAATCAGGGTCTTATTGATTCAAAATGTGAAAGTTTCATGGTTTTTTCATTCAAAAAAAATAGTTCAAGGACTTAATCATTCAAAATGAGAAAGTTTAATGGTTTTTTCATTCAAAAAAATAGTTTAGGGACTAAACCATTCATAATAAGAAAATTTGTTGGGTTTTTTTGGACTTTTCCCTTTTACAATAAATAATGAGTGTTATTATGGTATAAGTCTGTCCATTGCAAACAACTACACTGTTGAAGCCAGAATTAGTTTCTTACTCATCATTTTGGTTATCTTTTGTAATAACTGGGTTCTGGTTATCACCTGAGGTAATTATTATGTGATATATGATTAATTGTTATAACTGATCATTTGGATACATGCTTACATAAGATTGATATGTGAGTATGTGTATATTTTTTCATGCATGGAAATATATGCATGTTTAAGGTGTATGCATATGTTGTGTGTATATATGGATTTATTCTATATGCATATGCATGCATGAGGGTTATGATGGATAACCGCCTTTCCATAAAAGAAAGTGATAAGGTGAAAGGAAAACTTCTTGCCACTTTTGGAAAGAATTGAGAGAGAAAAAGTTTATGTGGGTTTTGATTGCTAGCTGAAGTTGGATTCGTATTTGCTATTTCATCTTCAACTTCTGAATTTGCATAAGGTGAGTGTTTATTCAAACAGCCTTTGCATATGATTTAATTATTGGGTTTTAGTTTTGAGATGATGATATATTGAAAATATTGTATCTGCTCTTGCTCATCTTCATTGATCGGATTGGAATTGTCCGGCCATTGTGTTGTCCGGGTTAGTATAGTATGCCTAAACTATTGAAATTTGTGTCCGGACATAGTATTGTCCGGTGAGGGCATGTCCGGTCACTATATTGACCGATGAGAATTGTATGACCAGATATTGTTGTCCGATAAAGGTGTATTCGGACGAGTGTTGCCCGGATGGAGGATCTTGTGTTTGACCGATTTGCTTGTGTCCAGACACTATGATGTCCGGAGAGAGTATGTGTCCGGTTATGAGGTTGTTGTTTTAAAAATAGTTAAGGATCGTCCGGGTATGAGAGTCCGGCTAAGTGTTGTCCAGACAATACATGTGTTGTCCGAATAGGCTTGTCCGAACAAGTATTGTCCGGATGTGAGTTAACATAATGTGGTATTTGTTGAACTTGAGTTTTTGATATTGGGATTCTCACAATTAACATTTGTTTGGGTTTAAAATTTGTTATATTGTGAAAAGGGGTATTTTATATCTTTTAAAATGGAAAAGATAACGTTTCTACCAGACGTGGTGACGTAAGTCTGTTCTGGTTAGAAACTATATATTGGGAAATGTTTCTTCCAAACGTGGTGACGTAAATCTGTTCTGGTTAGAAACTATATTTTGGGAAATGTTTCTTCCATACGTGGTGACGTAAGTCTGTTGTGGTTAGAAATTATATTTTGGGAAATGTTTCTTCCAGACGTGGTGACGTAAGTCTGTTCTGGTTTGAAACTATATTTTGGAAATCGTTTCTTCCAGACGTGGTGATGTAAGTCTATTCTGGAATGAAACTTTGTTTTAAGAGGTAGTTCCCCCGACATGGTGACATTTGTCTGTTCTGGCTTGGAACTGGGTGTTGGGTACTTCCAGACGTGGTGACGTAACTCTGTTCCGGTAAGGAACCCTGTTTTAAAGAAAAAATAAGGGTGGCATATCAAGGAGAGGTGTACAAAGGGTATTGTAGGTGTGGGTATTATTATAACTCTTGTTATCATCACTATCAGATACAATAACTATCAATTGGCATTTTTTGTGACTTGATGATCTAGAGATATTGTTCTATTTAAAAATAATAATTTTGACGTTATTGAAAAGGGGAAAATGATTTGTCATCAGAGGCTTTAATTGCCTAAGTATTCTATCAAATTTAAACATATGTGAGAATGATACAGAGGGGCTCTGGTTGGTCTTTTAGAAGGACCAGAGGACTTCTGGTTATGTGGAAAGACTTTAAAATATTTATAAATTAGAAGCTCTGTATGTATTGTACAGAATCTCTGTATCTTAAAAATAGTTATTTCTCATTATCTGAAGCTCTATACCCGAGCTCTGTGTTTGAGCTCTGTATCAGAGTTATGTCTTTTTAAAATTTATCCTTTCTTCAAAAATATTTATAAATAAAGTTAAGAGTTAGAGGAGCTCTGATTCTAGTTTATCCATCTTGTAAAATTAAGGTAGATTCTTTTTGGGCCAAAGACTTTGTTTGGTCCAGAGGATCTCTGGTTGGGTATTGTTTCATTTGGATACAGAGGCTCTGGTTAGTAGAGCCAGAGGCTCTGGTTATCAAGGGCAAATAAGCTCTGGCCCATTGAGCTAGAGGGGCTCTTGCCCGTTGAGCAGAAGAGTTTATGGCAACTCTGTTAAGGGATCAAAAGTTCCAATATGTTGTATTTGTGCTATGTATTTGTAGAAATCTGTTGGCTTTATATTTTGATTATCAAACAGATTGCATGTTTTTGCTGAAATGCATTTATCTCTACGTAAAAGATGTTTTATCGGGTTTTGGTGATTTTCACCCTGCATTTGCAAAGAAAGGATTTACTCACTAGACCTTCCGGTCTAACCCTCATTTTGTGTTTCAAAAATGTGCATTGCAGGATCTGCGGTGTCTCGGGATAATAAGGGGAAGGGGAAAATATAATGATTCCTTATATGTTATCTGCTTCATGAAGATCAGATTGATACCTGAATATTTTGAAGATACATGTTGTTATACATGTAATAGTGCAGGGATATTCTTTTGGAATTTTTCATATGTAAATTCTGTACATATAGAATCCTTGTACTAGTAGGACCTATGTGGTGTAATCTATATTTCTTTTATATGAAATATATGTTATATGCAAATGTGGAGTTTGGGGTGTTACATCTTTCTTAGTTTTAATTGGTTCATGACTGTTTCTATAGATATTCTGCTAATAGCCAAACAACATATAGAACTATTTAGTTCTTCTATTTACTCAGTTTATTACTCCCTTGATCCAAAAAAAATTACAATGTTTGGCTTGGTATGTAGTTTGATAAAAGTTTTTGACTATACTCAAGTACCTACAATACCTCTTTAAGAGACAAAATTGAGAAACTTATGGACCATAACGAATCTCACTAACATCAAATGATATTGCTGATGAACAAAAAGATAAATGTGGAAAGAATTCTTTAAATAAAGAGAAAAATTTGCATATTCTTAAACACAAATATAAACCGTTGCTTTTTTGGACAAAGAGAGTACTATTTTTTTATACCCCAAATAAAATTAAGACTTCTAATTACTTTTAGCATTCACATTAAATATAGTAATCTCAAATTGGTTTGATGTCATCGTGTATTAAGGGTGTAGAATCAGAAGTTTTCTCCGAATCATAAACCTGCAAGATGCAATCTCCTGTTGGATATTATGAGGGTCTAGATAACCTACCGTTCTTGTTGAGAAAACTAGACACCCTAGTGCCAAAGAAAAACTTTTGTACACCCTATATCTCTTTTCACCTGGTTTTACTCATTGGCTAAAAGGCAATCATAGAATAATAAAACTTCACTAAAAGCAAGATGGCCAAAGTGGGAGTAAGCACCCTGTAAACATCTGACTTCATGATGCAGGGAAGATTTTTAAGAAGAACAATAACATGAAAATTAATAAAATGATCTAGGTTTATGGGGTTCACAGTTCATACTAAATAAACATTAGGGTGGCTCAAGTGTCACCCAGGATAATCTAAGGATCTTACTGATATCACACAACCAAAGAGCAAAGTCACAAGCTTTTATTTCAACCATCTAATAATCATTATTGGGGATTACAGCTTATAAAACGACCAATCATCCTAAAGATGAAACTACTTGCTATCCACAAGATGATAAGAATAAATGATAAAGATCTTTACTAACAGTTATCTTATACACGACTTATTGTTGCTTTAATGTTACAATCCTTAATCAGGCCCAAGGGATAGCAAAACTCAAAAAGATACAATACGTCAATCCCCGCTCCTTACCAGCAAGAGGTTTCAGTAGCATGACATGGATAGAAGCTATGATATGAACAATTGAACATATGGATAAGATCATCATATATAACACAAAAATTTCAGTGACAAAATTTTACAGACCATGGGCTTCCTTGCAGAAAAGTGAAGCCGGAGTCTGTGACAATCATCTAACAAAATATACACCAGTTTGAATAACTGTAAAATTAGTAACATACGTAGCAATACATGTGCAGAGCAGCATACCTGTCATTTAAGAAAGCTACTGTCAGAGCAGTTAACATGGCAGCAAAGATAGCAAGTGGCCTCCAGAGAAATCCCAATCCTGCACTTGACAAAATTCAAGATTGTAATGTATGGAATAATAACAAAAACTATCAGGAAACTGGACTTTCAAATTTTTCCAATCAACTTACCAAGAATGAGGACGATCATGATGAAGTAATTTGTCCGGTAGCTGCAGGACGCATAAAATTGTTAAACCTACTTATAACCAAGAGCAAAACCTTGCCAGCACAAAGTTTCCTACTACAAAAACAACAAAGCTTTTTAGGTTCATTATACATCATCCATAAGCATTATATCCATCAAACCCATATACATGAAACTTATGGTCATCCCCAAAAAGTTAATATGTGGCATTAAGGGCGACCTCCCACCTTCAGAAGAAAAAAAGAGCAGCCCAGTGTACAGCTTGAGCAAAGAAAGAACAAGCATATAAGCTTCAAAACTAACGAGTAATCTAAGAACAAATTCAGTGTTTCTCTATATTGTTCCTTTTTTCACTCCTGAATTTAGTTTCATCCAAACTCGAAGAGACAACAACTAATTCAATAATCAGCAACTACAAAAGAATAGAAGACTTTTGGAAGTGCGTACAACCAATAAAGCAGCAGGGATCTTCAGCTCCCATTTTGAAAAGAAAAAAACAAAACATCTCGATTTACAAAAAGACGATCATATCGTAAACTGCAAACCATTAAAAACCTAACTCGAACTAGCTTGGTCATCCACAGGAAAGGTTACAATTACAAAATTTGGGGGTTATAATTTCTAGTCCGCAATCTAATTTCCACCGAGCCGACAAGTTTTACAGAAGAAATACAAGATATTCGAATTAAATCAACGTTCTAACAAAATATCACAATTATTAGGGCTTAATTCCTCTAATCCCATAAATCAAATTTCCATCTTGATTGTAAACAGAACCAAAATAAAACTCAACGGTGAGTGAATACTTAAAAGATAAAGATGAAAACAGGAACATACTAGTAGAGATTACACTTGAGGCGACTGTTCCATTTATTAGATGAACGAGGGACAGTAAATCGGGAAAAGAATTCATTGAGAGGACGAGGAGGTGATGACCAATCAACTTCCCTAAGTGCTTCGATCAGATCTTCCGTTGTTACAGTTCCCCAATCCATTTCTTTGGTTGTTGGATCGAGCAAGAAAATCCCAAAGTATCAGATCACAAATCCGCAGACAAAAAATGTAAGAACAATCAAGAAGAATACAACATACCCGTAGCCGTAAGTAACTTGAAGTAGAGGTGGAGTAAATAAGAAGAAATAAAAAAATGTCTGAGCCCGGGTTCGAACCGGGGACCTCTAGTGTGTGAGACTAGCGTGATAACCGACTACACCACCCAGACACCCGTGTTAGCTTTTTCTTTATTATTTATTTATCTCAAATTAATAAATCTACCCTTTTTGGTCCCTATTTATGTTTTAACTAATTCTTTCTCTACGTTACGTTCTCAAAACAATTTTAACAAAGAAAATAGTGAGAAATGGTTTTTGAAATCTTTTTAAAAGAGAAGGAAAATAATCAGGGACGGATCTACTAAAGACCGAGCAGGGTTCCGTGCACTAAATCATTTGATTATCGTCAAGGAAAAAACTGTAGACGTCTTAAAGGTGCACTCGCTTGATTTTAAAGGTTCCCTTATAAATCTATAGCCAAAATAAGGGGTTGGCATGATGGTTTGCTTGATTGAATTAAAGCTCCTAGCATAATCAGGTTTGGGGTTCCATTTCCACTTGCATATTTTTTCTGTTGTTAAAAAGTATAAATATGGACGGACCTAGGTTTGTGGTATAGGTGGCACGTGTCATCGTATTATTTCTCTGCCGAAAGGTAAAAAAAATAGGTTTCGTGAACGGTGCAACCGTATTAATTTGTTATGTGCCATCATATGTATTTTGAAACTACAATGAGAACAAATTTTATTTGGTAGAGTTGGTTTGCAAATCTTTTATTCCACCTCACACCAAAGTTCGAATACTGTTAGTGTCATTTTTATAGTCAAATAGTGTCACTGTTTGAAAAAAAATTATGTATATTTGTTTCTTATAGTCAAATGGTGTCATCGTTTAAAAAAAAATTCTAGGTCCGTCCCTAACTAGAAAGAGGGAGTATGTTTTTAAAGAATGCCATCGTAATGTTTCGTTATATACCCTTATATTCGCAGAACTTTTATAATAGAAATTTAAGTTGATTTAGTTGCTTTATAGAGCATGATTAAAGTCTTGTTTGCAGGGGTTTGAATCTTGCTATTATTAAAACACTTATTTTTTATCTTTTAATTGGGGTTCTTTTTTATAACTTTTGTTTTAAAAACAAATTTGGATTGAGGAAGATATGAAGAATCGAACCGAGGCCCTTTACCTTGGACATACAAAACAGCTAATCAACTCAGTTGTTGCACGCCTCGCTTAGGCATGGGAATGGGTTCCGATCCGTCGGGGACAGAGGATTTTCCGCTAAATCAGGTATGGGGACAGAAACAAGTATGGTACTTCCCGTCCCGCCCCGCCCCGCCCCGCCTTGTTCCCGTTATATATATATATATATATATATATATATATATATATTATACACACACACACATATATATATTTCAACTAAAGCGGTAATTCATAATTTTCTATTTTTTTACTAGGTTTATAATCTAAAATTGTTACTTTTTGGGCGTTAATATGTATTATATTGGATGTCAAGTCAAAATACAATTATTCGATAAGTTTTGTATATTACTCGATATGGTTTTATATTTCTCATTATCCTTTGGTACATGTGACTTTAAGTTTTCTTGGATTAAATTGATTTTTTTTGTTTTAGGTTATTAGTTCTTATATGATGTTGTGGTTTTTTTTGTATTAAATTAAATTCATTTTGGTTTTAGGTTTATTGAAAATGTTTGAGATCTAAACATGTATGGTCTATCACAATTTAATTCAAAATAACTTATATAAACGGGAAAAAATTCCCTTTGAAAAAATATATTTCCCCGTTGGGGATGGGGATGTGATTATATTTCCCGACGGGGACGGGGATAGAGATAACTAATCGAGGACGGGGATTGAAGTCCCCGCCACATTCTCATGCCTAGCCTCGCTAAATGCACAATAAGGTTTAAATTTATAAACCTAACTTAAACCAGTAAATGGGTAAGTCGGGTATCGTTTTTCTCAGGGAGTCAGTGGTCAAGCTAATTATTTGTGTTAACTGGATACACATGCTCATGAAGATATGCTACTCAACTTATTCAGTTTAAGCTCAAAGACTAAAACTCAAAACCGTAATCTACTTATCACAATTAACACCGACCAAATCAAGCTTTTAGGAAGAATCGCATTAAAATTAAGAAATAAATAAGTAGAAAATCTTTTGTCACTTAGATATACTGCTCAATTAAATCAGTTTAAGCTCAAAGATTAAGACTCATAATCGAAACCTGCTTATCACAATTAACACTGACCAAATCAAGCTTTTAGGAAGAATGGCATTAAAACTAAGAAACAAATAAGTAGAAAATCTTTTTGGATTTTTTTATAAAGAAAAATTAAAAAGAACAAAATTCAGAAAACGAGTTCTAACGATGAGAAAAAAGCAAGGTTAACCGTCCGTTACTAACCCAAATGTTTCACCAATTTGGTTAATTTTCACAAGATATACAATTTTAAATGCATCGCCTGAACAAACATGCTAAGGGACCGATCTGACCCTCGACATAGTCCATGTCTATCCAAACCAACTGTCCTCCCACCTATACTATTGGGTTCAACACGATCAGGGTATACCAATGGACTATTCAAGTTATGCCAACCAATTACTAAAACACGTTTAATTTAAACACATATAAATATATCATATATTAAACATTAAGCCCCGACAAAAAACCTGTCACATTATGTCTCAAAACGACATATCCATACTTTTTATGCAAATTAAAACCAAAATATAACAAACAAAAACAGATCAGATTGGATTACACAAGGGTTTTTAAAATTCACGTCAGGTCAACCTCGAAGGAATTAGCCTTGCATTATTGTGCTTGAAAATTCGATGTTTTCAGAATGCTTGTGCATCATCCAAGCAACAACGGATGCAAGATTAAACAAGAAGTATATGAACAAGCAGCTTGGATGGGCAACAGAACACAGAAACAAAGAAAAGAAGACGGTTGTTGGGATAAGAAAAAACAAAGAAGCATAATATAACACAAGGAAGAGAACAGAAGACAACTCTGGAAAAAAAAGGAACCCAAGAGCCATCCAAGCCATTAAATCGAAAATCAACGAAATACAAAAAAAATAGAGTATAAGAAATTACACCAGAAAAATAGTGAAGATATAGGCTTGAAATAAATATTGAAAACACATTATAACTTAAAATAGCTGTTAATCGATATAAAATGTTAAAAAATTCATTTCTTTTCAGTCATTTATTTATTTATGACAAATTTTGTTGGTACGATAACTAAAAAACTAAGTACCTTTTTTTTCCTATATGAGATATGTTACTGAAAAATCAGGGTAGTATTGGTAACTAGTTAATGTGTATATTTGTCCAAATACAAGATAAGTTCCGGGGTTGATCCTGGATCACCTACTAGTCTCAGTCGTTAAGTGAGCTAAAAAAATCTCCCTCACATTGATATCTTTGGAGGCGGGTTTCGTGTGGAGCTGATTGAGATTGTCGACAATTTACTTTTTGTCCAAATGTCTAAACGGTTAGAATACTTCGAAATATTTTGATGTTTACTTTAAAATAAAACTTTCAAAAGAAAGACGATTAAAAAATAAAACTCATAGTAAATTACAAATTTCATCTTTATGGTTATATGAAAATTTGGATTGGATCCCTCAAACGAACTAATTACATGTATGGTCACTAATATTTCATTTTTGTTATGTATTGGATCATTTGCTATAATGCCGTTAACATTTACTTCATTAAATTAAGGGCATTTTAGTCCTTTTTTGTTTTTTTTCTTGTAAAAATTAAAAAGATATATAACACTTATATTTATAAAAGAAATATAATACTTATTACTATGTAGTTTTAGACACGCAGGCATGAGATTCTCAACAAAGCCCACCTTGTGATGCCCAATGTTCTAAAAAACACGTCTTGGTGTCAGCATGGCGTCGGGCCCAACCTTGTCGCCATGTTAACCCCTTGGCGTGAATATAAGACGTGAAGATCGCCATGGCTATGTTGTTATAAGGTGTGGGAGGAAATTTGTAATTTTTAAAACTTAAATATGAGTAAATCTAAATATAACTTATAGTTTATACGGATCAAATATATAATCAACAAAACAATGAAAAAGAAAAAACCCTAAATTACTTTTTAGCGTACGAAATTGTTTATCACTTTCGTTTGTTCGTTCTTTGATTTCAGTACTTTCATTTTGTTGTTTGATTACCAAATAGGGACTGTAAATACTGACTTTGTTTTTATATTTGATATCATCTTTATAAACTCTGTAAATTTCATATCAAATTATCAATTAACGGTTCTTTTTTTTATTTATCGTTTTTTTATGAATTTAAATTGTTAATAACTTTATCATTATTGTTCAAGACACCAACATAATCACACACACACACACACACACACACACACATATATATATATATACATATATATAGTCTATGTCATGCCTTGGAAAATATCATGAACTCGTGTTGTGGCTTGACCTCGAGGCCACGCCTAACGTAATTTAGAACCTTGGCGATGCCGAGACTCCAGCGAGATCCTAAACTCCGGCGATACCCATCCTTCGGTTCTTCACCATCGAACACTTTCGTCACCGGTTTCCTTGTGCCACCTTGGCGATTCCCAAACTCCGGCTCCCTGTGTACACTTCCAGGCATTCAGTTCTAATCCACAAAATTTGCTAATAGAACTGGATGTAGATCAATCGAGTTTCAAAGGGAGAGAATGGAATCAAGGGATTAGGGTTTCGATTGAGCATTCAACGAGCATTAGTCGAGTCTGAATTGAGCATTCATTGATTTTGGTGCAATGGAGTCAACCGTTCCTAAACCTAGTTGAAGAAGTAATGGTTTTGGCTTATGATTTATGTTTTTGTGTGTTTTCTGGATTCAACCGGTATTTGTGTCATATCAATGGATTTTACTTATGTATAACTTTAGTTGGTTGTAAAAGTTTTTGGTGTGGTGATTTAGGGTATTAATTTTTGAATTTGAAGAAATACAGATGACTCTTTGATTTCTGAAGTTATAGACT